AGCAACCCATGTGCATTGTATCCAACGAGAAACGTATTTTCTTAAGCCACATGACCTATTATAAATGACTAGCAAAAAGCTTGGGGCTGGCTATTATATCTTATAATTTCATACGTGACATTTCAGAAACCCTCCGACCCCATATAGGGAGTAGGGGTATGGTGGTAGGGTGGGGTTGGCACCAACCACATTCTAAGGGTAACTGTGGCCAGTGACACATCGTCACCACTGTGAAAAAAATAATGAAATTACAAGCGCATTCATGACTTCTAGCATTATCAAGGAACAATAAAAGAAACAATAAAAGATAAAAGATTTATAGTTACAATCGCTTTCGTGGCTTCTCACATTATCAAGCAACAATGAAAGATTTATAGTTCCTTGATAATGTAAGATGTCACGAAAGCACATGGAATTTCATTATTCTTTTACAGTGGTTGTTCTGCTAATATATATTATATATATATATATATATTTTATATAATTTTATATATAATAATATATATATATATATATAATATATTTTATATATATATATACGTATAAAATATATATATATATAATATATATTATATATAATATATATAATTATATATATAATATATATATATAAAATTTTATATTTTCATGTATATATCCCTATATTTTTTTTCTTCTGTACGGGAACAGCTTCACGTTTACCTGGTGGACCTTTTTAGCTTTCTACGCACAAGGTGAGAATAGCTGTGCCTTCCGAATTCCAACCACCTCTATTTAAGAGCCAGCAGAAGAAATAGTGGAGAGTGGTCATAAATTATAGACATAAAGCATAAAAATATGTATGTTTGTGTATAACATATATGTACATTGTGCATATATAAACTTTTGCATCTGAAAATCATTACATACACAGCGTCACGCACACACACACACACACACACACACACACACACACACACACACACACACACACACACAACACACACACACACGCAGAAGATCACAGGAAATGACCGAGAAGTATGTATGGAGCTCAACATGAGTTTTAAAAGAAGTTTTCCCAAGTTGGAGATGGGAAGGACTCCTGAAACAGGTAGGGGTTGGGGGTACATTACCAAGTACCAGACACAATACATACAACCAGGAAGAAGTTATGAGGCTGTTCAGTGATAGGGCGGATAACATTTCTCCGCGGATCCTGAGAAAGGAGCAGAGGCGCTCTGTGTACCACTAACAACAATTTTTAACACATCATAGAAACAGGGCAGCTTCCTGAGGTATGGAAACAGCAAATGCAGTCCCACTAAACTACAGACCAGTATCACTGACATGAAAAGTACGCAAAGTCATGGAGAAGATTATCAGGAGAAGAGTGGTGGACCACTTAGAAAGGAAAAAAGCTTATCAACGACAAGCAGCATGGATTCAGGGATGGGAAAGCCTGCGTCACAACCTATTGGAGTTTATGAAAAAAGACAGTAGTAAGACAAGAAAGAGAGGGGGGGAGGGGAGATTGCATTTTCTTGACTGTAAGAAGGCTTTTGACACAGTTCCACATAAAAGATTACTGAAAAAGCTGAAGGACTAGGCAGGTATAACAGAAGGAATAGATTCAGAAGTGGCTCTGTTTGCAGACGATTCAAGTTAATGAAAATTCAATCGTGGGAAAACCACAGGGCTACAAAGGGACTGGACAGGGTACAGGTCGCCAACCCCATGAAGACGGGGAAGGGGCCTAGAAGATCGTAGAGAAAACAGTGTAGGGGCCAAAGCTAAAACCTCCTCAAGAAAAACATTTTGGGGTGAATATAACACCGAACACATCATCCAAGTAACTGCTTGGGATATGGCGATTAGCAAAACCCAAGAATACATTACAAAATCTCATAGGATCGTTCAGGGTTTTGTACACCCTGTACACAGGGCCCTATTTTGGGGTTGCAGCACCAGTTTTGGAAACCCCCACCTGGCCAAGCCAAAACAGCAATTAAAAAGTGTAAAAATTTTCAACGAACTATCCCCGGGGGTTTTAAAGGGGATTCCTATGAGAAAAGGGGAAAAGGGAATTCGCCTGACGACACTGAGGACAGGGGGGACAAGGGGGGCATTATAGCAGATATAAATACGAAGGAAGGTCAGCTCATATTTTTAGAAGGGGGCACACCAAATGGGGTGAAAGCGGAAGTTGAAGAATCGATGAGTCACAGGGGTGTTTGGGAAAATTTCTTCGTATAAGTTGACAAAAAAGTGGGGTACTCTGGAAAATGAGGTGGGGGAGGGAGGAATCATGCATCTTTAAGAACAGGGATATACAGCTCAAGAGCACGTAAGAGTTTCTTATAGCGACCAAGAAAGGCGGGGCGGGGTTTGACTCGACCCCCTACAACCACAATTTGGTAGTACACACCACACACACGCACACACACTGGACGGGGAGATAGGGAGGCCCCTGATAACGACTTACAAAATACTGAGAGGGAAATTTAAAGGTGGACAAAGACAGGGTTTCCAGAACTGGACACAGCAACAAAATTGGAACTGAAGACACGATAATCCAGGGAGATGGAAGATTTTTTCAGCCCCGAGTATCAGGAAGTGGAATATTTCGGAAACGATGTGTGAAGGCAGGTCCATACATAGCTTTAAGCAAGGGCGATAAAACTCATGGTTCAAGGAGAGGGCCTAGTACGACCCGTGAAGAGGCGGGCTAGGAGCTTGGATCGACCCCTGCAAAAACCCCAACAGGGGAGTACAACTAGGGGAGTACTGTGTCTCTGACTTTCATAGTATGCAAATCATGGAGATTTTAGAGGAGAGGGGGGAACCATGGAACGGAACAAGATTTTAAAAAAGAAAACCAGCATGGGGTTTAGGAAGGGAAATCTTTGCATTATCAAGGACAATAAAAGAAACAATAAAAGATAAAAGATTTATAGTTACAATCGCTTTCGTGGCTTCTCACATTATCAAGCAACAATGAAAGATTTATAGTTCCTTGATAATGTAAGATGTCACGAAAGCACATGGAATTTCATTATTCTTTTACAGTGGTTGTTCTGCATATATATATATATATATATATATATAATATATATATATAATATTATATATATATATATATATTATATATATATACGTATATATATATATATATATATATATATATATATATATATATATATATATATATATATATATATATATATATATATATATATATATATATGTTAAAAGCAGGTGGGGATATAGTTTTGGAGTGGTTGGTGCAATTATTTAATAAATGTATGGAAGAGGGTAAGGTACCTAGGGATTGGCAGAGAGCATGCATAGTTCCTTTGTATAAAGGCAAAGGGGATAAAAGAGAGTGCAAAAATTATAGGGGGATAAGTCTGTTGAGTGTACCTGGTAAAGTTTTATGGTAGAGTTATAATTGAAAGAATTAAGAGTAAGACGGAGAATAGGATAGCAGATGAACAAGGAGGCTTTAGGAAAGGTAGGGGGTGTGTGGACCAGGTGTTTACAGTGAAACATATAAGTGAACAGTAATTTAGATAAGGCTAAAGAGGTCTTTGTGGCATTTATGGATTTGGAAAAGGCGTATGACAGGGTGGATAGGGGGCAATGTGGCAGATGTTGCAAGTGTATGGTGTAGGAGGTAGGTTACTGAAAGCAGTGAAGAGTTTTTACGAGGATAGTGAGGCTCAAGTTAGAGTATGTAGGAAAGAGGGAAATTTTTTCCCAGTAAAAGTAGGCCTTAGACAAGGATGTGTGATGTCACCGTGGTTGTTTAATTATTTATAGATGGGGTTGTAAGAGAAGTAAATGCGAGGGTCTTGGCAAGAGGCGTGGAGTTAAAAGATAAAGAATCACACACAAAGTGGGAGTTGTCACAGCTGCTCTTTGCTGATGACACTGTGCTCTTGGAGATTCTGAAGAGAAGTTGCAGAGATTGGTGGATGAATTTGGTAGGGTGTGCAAAGAAGAAAATTAAAGGTGAATACAGGAAAGAGTAAGGTTATGAGGATAACAAAAAGATTAGGTGATGAAAGATTGAATATCAGATTGGAGGGAGAGAGTATGGAGGAGGTGAACGTATTCAGATATTTGGGAGTGGACGTGTCAGCAGATGGGTCTATGAAAGATGAGGTGAATCATAGAATTGATGAGGGAAAAAGAGTGAGTGGTGCACTTAGGAGTCTGTGGAAACAAAGAACTTTGTCCTTGGAGGCAAAGAGGGGAATGTATGAGAGTATAGTTTTACCAACGCTCTTATATGGGTGTGAAGCGTGGGTGATGAATGTTGCAGCGAGGAGAAGGCTGGAGGCAGTGGAGATGTCATGTCTGAGGGCAATGTGTGGTGTGAATATAATGCAGAGAATTCGTAGTTTGGAAGTTAGGAGGAGGTGCGGGATTACCAAAACTGTTGTCCAGAGGGCTGACTAAGGGTTGTTGAGGTGGTTCGGACATGTAGAGAGAATGGAGCGAAACAGAATGACTTCAAGAGTGTATCAGTCTGTAGTGGAAGGAAGGCGGGGTAGGGGTCGGCCTAGAAGGTTGGAGGGAGGGGTAAAGGAGGTTTTGTGTGCGAGGGGCTTGGACTTCCAGCAGGCATGCGTGAGCGTGTTTGATAGGAGTGAATGGAGACAAATGGTTTTTAATACTTGACGTGCTGTTGGAGTGTGAGCAAAGTAACATTTATGAAGGGATTCAGGGAAACCGGCAGGCCGGACTTGAGTCCTGGAGATGGGAAGTACAGTGCCTGCACTCTGAAGGAGGGGTGTTAATGTTGCAGTTTAAAAACTGTAGTGTAAAGCACCCTTCTGGCAAGACAGTGATGGAGTGAATGATGGTGAAAGTTTTTCTTTTTCGGGCCACCCTGCCTTGGTGGAATCGGCCGGTGTGATAATAAAAATATATATAATATATATATATATATATATATATATATATATATATATATATATATATATATATATATACATATATGTATATATACATATATTTTTTTTCTTCTTGTACAGGATCAGCTTCACGTTTACCTGGGTGGACCATTAGCTTTCTACGCACAAGGTGAGAATAGCTGTGCCTTCCGAATTCCAACCACCTCTATTTAAGAGCCAGCAGAAGAAATAGTGGAGAGTGGTCATAAAATTATAATGACATAAAGCATAAAAATATGTATGTTTGTGTATATACATATATGTACATTGTGCATATATAAACTTTTGCATCTGAAAATCATTACATACACAGCGTCACGCACACACACACACACACACACACACACACACACACACACACACACACACACACACACACACACACACACACACACACACGCAGAAGATCACAGGAAATGACCGAGAAGTATGTATGGAGCTCAACATGAGATTTAAAGAAGTATTCACAGTGGAGATAGGAAGGACTCCTGAAACAGGTAGAGGTGGGGTACATTACCAAGTACCAGACACAATACATACAACCGAGGAAGAAGTGATGAGGCTGTTCAGTGATAGGGCCGGATAACATTTCTCCGTGGATCCTGAGAGAAGGAGCAGAGGCGCTCTGTGTACCACTAACAACAATTTTTAACACATCTATAGAAACAGGTCAGCTTCCTGAGGTATGGAAAACAGCAAATGCAGTCCCACTAAACTACAGACCAGTATCACTGACATGAATAGTACGCAAAGTCATGGAGAAGATTATCAGGAGAAGAGTGGTGGACCACTTAGAAAGGAAAGAGCTTATCAACGACAAGCAGCATGGATTCAGGGATGGGAAAGCCTGCGTCACAAACCTATTGGAGTTTTATGACAAGATGACAGTAGTAAGACAAGAAAGAGAGGGGGGGGAGGGTAGATTGCATTTTCTTGGACTGTAAGAAGGCTTTTGACACAGTTCCACATAAAAGATTACTGAAAAAGCTGAAGGACTAGGCAGGTATAACAGAAGGAATAGATTCAGAAGTGGCTCTGTTTGCAGACGATGTCAAGTTAATGAAAATTCAATCGGTGGAAGACCAGGCAGGACTACAAAGGGATCTGGACAGGCTACAGGCCTGCTCAACCCCATGAAGATCGGGGAAGGGCATAGAAGATCGTAGAGAGAATACAGTGTAGGGGGCCAAAGACTACAAACCTCACTCAAGGAAAAACATTTTGGGGTGAATATAACACCGAACACATCATCCAAGTAACTGCTGTGGTATATGGGCGATTAGCAAACCTAAGAATAGCATTACAACATCTCAGTAAGGAATCGTTCAGGATTTTGTACACCGTGTACATCAGGCCCATATTGAAGTATGCAGCACCAGTTTGGAACCCACACCTGGCCAAGCACATCAGGCAATTAGAGAAAGTGTAAAAGTTTGCAACGAGACTAGTCCCGGAGTTAAGGGGCATGTCCTATGAGAAGAGGTTAAGGGAATTCGTCCTGACGACACTGGAGGACAGGAGGGACAAGGGGACATTATAGCAGCATATAAAATACTGAGAGGAATGGTCAGCGTCAGTATGTTTCAGAGATGGGACACACCAACATGGGGTGACAAGCGGAAGTTGAAGAATCAGATGAGTCACAGGGATGTTAGGAATATTTCTTCAGTCATAGAGTTGACAGGAAGTGGAGTACTCTGGAAAGTGAGGTGGTGGAGGCAGGAATCATGCATAGCTTTAAGAACAGGTATGATACAGCTCAGAGAGCACGTAGAGAGTTACTTAGTAGCGACCAATGAAGAGGCGGGGACAGGAGTTATGACTCGACCCCCTACAACCACAATTAGGTGAGTACACACACACACACACGCACACACACTGGACAGGAGAGATAGGGGGGACATGATAACGACTTACAAAATACTGAGAGGAATTGACAAGGTGGACAAAGACAGGATGTTCCAGAGACTGGACACAGCAACATAGTTGGAAGCTGAAGACACAGATGAATCACAGGGATGATAGGAAGTATTTCTTCAGCCACAGAGTAGTCAGGAAGTGGAATAGTTTCGGAAGCGATGTAGTGGAGGCAGGATCCATACATAGCTTTAAGCAGAGGTACGATAAAGCTCATGGTTCAAGGAGAGTGACCTAGTAGCGACCAGTGAAGAGGCGGGGCTAGGAGCTTGGACTCGACCCCTGCAACCTCAACTAGGTGAGTACAACTAGGTGAGTACTGTGTCTCTGACTTGCATAGTATGCAAAGTCATGGAGATTATCAGGAGGAGAGTGGTGGAACACATGGAACGGAACAAGATTATAAATGAAAACCAGCATGGGTTCATGGAAGGCAAATCCTGTGTCACAAACCTTCTGGAGTTTTATGACAAGGTAACATAAGTAAGACACGAGAGAGAGGGGTGGGTTGATTGCATTTTCCTGGACTGCAGGAAGGCCTTTGACACAGTTCCTCACAAGAGATTAGCGCAGAAGCTGGAGGATCAGGCGCATATAACAGGGAGGGCACTGCAATGGATCAGGGAATACCTGACATAGAAGCAACAACGAGTCATGGTACGTGAAGCGGTATCACAGTGGGCGCCTGTGACGAGAGGGGTCCCACAGGGGTCAGTTCTAGGACCAGTGCTATTTTTGATATATGCGAACGACATGATGGAAGGAATAGACTCTGAAGTGGTCCAGAAACAGGCTTCTCGAATTCAACCCTGCCAAATGCAAAGTCATGAAGATTGGGGAGGGGCAAAGAAGACCGCAGACAGACTATAGGCTAGGTGGACAAAAACTACAGACCTCACTCAGGGAGAAAGACCATAACACCGAGCACGTCACCGGAGGCACACATCAACCAAATAACTGCTGCAGCATACGGGCGCCTGGCAAACCTGAGAATAGTGCTCCGATACCTTAATAAGCAATCGTTCAAGACACTGTACACTGTGTTTGTTAGGCCCATGCTGGAGTATGCAGCACCAGTCTGGAACCCACACCTGGTCAAGCACGTCAAGAAGTTAGAGAAAAAACAAAGGTTTGCAACAAGGCTAGTTCCAGAGCTCAGGGAAATGTTGTACGAGGGAAGGTTGAGGGAAATCGGACTGGCGACAGTGGAGAACAGAAGGGTCAGGGGAGACATGATAACGACATACAAGATACTGCGGGGAATAGACAAGGTGGACAGAGACAGGATGTTCCAGAGAGGGGACACAGAAACAAGGAGTCACAATTGGAAGCTGAAGGCTCAGACGAGTCACAGGGACGTTAGGAAGTATTTCTTCAGTCATGGAGTCGTCAGGAAGTGGAATAGCCTAGCAAGTGAAGTAGTGGAGGAAGGAACCATACATAGTTTTAAGAAGAGGTATGACAAAGCTCAAGAAGCAGAGGGAGAGGACCTAGTAGCGAACAGTGAAGAGGCGGGACCAGGAGCTGAGTCTCGACCTGCAACTACAATTAGGTGAGTACAATTAGGTGATTACACACACACACACACACACACACACACACACACACACTCACACACACACACACACACACACACACACACACACACACACACACATATATATATATATATTTATATGTCGTGCCGAATAGGCAGAACTTGCGATCTTGGCTTAAATAGCAACGCTCATCTTGCCATATAGGAAAAGTGAAAATTTATGTATGCAATAATTTCGCCAAAATGATTCCTAGCTTAACGAAAAAAATTTATTTCACTGTGTTTGTTTAATATTAAATTATTGTAAACAAATATAAAATATATTTAGTCGGGTTAGGCTAAAATAAATTGCGCTTGTTATAATAGGGTTAGGTAAGTTTTCTAAGATTCTTTTGGTGTAAAATTAAAATTTTTTACATTAACATCAATGAAAAAAATATATCTTTAAAAGTATAAGAGAAAATTATAGAAAGGACTTAATTTTAAATGAGTTCTTGCTAATTGACCAGTTTTACATATTCGGCACGACATATATATATATATATATATATATTTATATATATATATATATTATATATATATATATATATATATATATATATAATATATATATATATATATATATATATATATATATATAATATATATAAAATTCATCAGGCATTACCCCTTTGAACAGCCACACTGAGCCGCTGGAACAGAAAACTAGCTGCCCTGGGATCCCTAGTTACCCTGATGAGCCTTTTTCCCAGCTCCTTAAGGAATTTAGATGCACTCTTTCCCCATGAACCAAGGGTCTCTGAGCCTATGGGAACAAACATATAATGATGGGCAAGTTCTCCATATTTTCTAGACTTTTGGGACTCCCTGAAGCTGGCAGCTGCCCCTCCTTCCTCCTTGGTGTATTGGAGATAGGTATCAGCCAAGGTAGATGCACATGTATAGTCCCACACCACCTGCTTCCCATCTGTCCAGGCTTGAAGGGTGATTCAATTTGGACGCTTCTGGCTGCCATCAGATCTGCATAGTTGGGGTGGCTCCCTTACTGCTGGGCATCCAGCTGTTGTGAGGCTCCTCTTTATATATATATATATATATATATATATATATATATATATATATATATATATATATATATATATATATATATATATATTATATATATATATATATATATATATATACATAGTCAGCGGTCTCCCACGGTACAGTCTCCACGGTACGGTCTCCACGGTATGGTCTCCTCTGAGCGGGCTCCTTCCGCGCCGCGCCCACCCGCCTGTGCGCCAGCCCGACCGGGGCTCGCCCGCGCCGCCCACCCTCGCGCCCGCCTGAGCCTTCTGCAGCGCCTTCTGCAGCGTCGTCCGGATCGCCCCCGCTCCACGAACTTTTTCCGATTTTTTTCAAATTTTTTTTTAATTTCATTTTCTTGTGTTCTTTATCTCCTTGTATCAAGTTTTTGGGTTTCCCCCTATGGGTACCCCTCCCACCACCCACTTCCACCCCAAATATTCCTTCTCCTTCTCCTCGGATCAACACCCTCTAAACCATATATTTCTCCTCCACTTCCTTGGATCAAGTTTTTTGGATTCCCCCCTATGGGGTTTCGAATTTTCTTGTATTCTCCTCGGATCAACACCCTCCCCCCACACCATCCACTTCTACCTCAAATATTC